AGTTAATCTTAGTAGAGATACAAAGTTGTAGATCTCACAAAGTAAAACTTAGACAAAGAAGTAATCGTTACTGGAAGTTATCCAATATGGCACACAGGTATTTTATCGTAAGGAAAAAAAATTCATTATATCCAAGATATACGTTCAGAGTCTACTCTGCAACAGAAACGAATCAAAAGCGAAGTTAAAAAAGTAAAATTTAACTTAAATTTTCTAGTGAAACTTTCGACACACCATTTTGTATTTCATATACCGGAATGACTATCGCCATAGTCATGTTGCAATAACGAAATAAACTGTCGAGGTGCGCGTATAATTATGAAAGCAAATTAATTGTATATGAGATTTCAGGTTCTCACGATGGGTTACCATCTTCAAAGTCACTGTTTTGCAATACCTACACCTCACAATCACAAAAGTAATGTTGTATAGCACATGGTTTTAACACCATAAAATGGCTGCTAACGTATTCGAACGTATCGTAAAAGCTCAGGAATGCAAGATACGCATAACGAACAACGTCTTGGAACGGAAATCGTTCTTAAACCGAGAGTTGCCTGTATTTTCAGATATATTAAGTCTACCTAGAATATTCTACTCGGTATTATGTTCCAACGCCACACCTAGAAAAGGCAGGCCTAGTTACTCTAAAAACACTGTGCAATATTAATAGTCAACATTGAATTAACGACGCGGTCTGTCTAAATTTATGTATAAGTGAGGTCTTCAGATATATAAAATACGAATTTAACCTTGAGGGACAGAGAATATATTTAATATCGCCTCTTCTCCGCTCAACATTTCTCCTACAATTGGAATTATTCTTTTTATTCTTCACTTTCTATAACAGTCATTCTGGATAGAAAAGTTTGCGTACTTTATATTTTGACCCTGAAAATATCTACAACGGCAAGGATAATACATAATTAACCTCCATTCATCAGTAAAATTAATTCTTGCACCAGACAGAGAATGGACATTGAATTAAATAAATTTAAAATTAAATAAAAATGTAATAAAATAAAATGAAATCATTAAAATTCAGGGACCACATGTTATGATGTTTAACAGAACATAGGCCCTCTTTATACCGCGGTTATGATCATGTCCCCCAAAACGATTATCATCATTTTGTACGAAATTCTACTAAAGACATTTCGACTTAAATAACTGTACTTCCATGTTTTCTGCTGGAAGTTTCTTAGTTGAATGTACAGTCACATTTTTGTTGTAGGCTCTAGTCCGTTGTCCACTGCAAGTAGCTCAATTTATAAAATTGCTGGCATGTCCTGACTTTCGTGTATTTTACTGAACTTTTGCTTGTCATTGTGAACCTAATATATCGACCATAGCCTATTTAAAATACCGCCATACCATTTGATTAAAGAGACTGTTTAAATACCTAAAAACCCTCAACTAAGTTCGGAGGATAGTTGATCGAGAACCGAACCTGGTACCTTCTTATTGAATTCCTGCTTCTCATACTTTCTCGTACATAAAACATAATACATGCTGACTGTCTGAGCAGAGCGATAATTTGTAGTACAACTAATAAAATCGATAAATAGTTTGTGTTAGGTTCCTCTATCTAACTCTACCTCTGTGGCATTAGAACCTGAAGGTTTAACACTCTAACATCAAAGCCCGCCATTGGAATGAGACAGAGTCAAGCGACAGTTAACGTGAGAGTTGCCTTTCCAACTGCCACTCCGTCTGTCCGACTCCATCGCTTCAGCAGGTAATCTACTGTCTGTTACGAAAACATCGGTAGAGTGCACAGTTATTACTAATGATATCCTATCCTTAAATATAAAACCTGCTGAGGTGTGTCAACCAACGAAATATTCTGAGTAACTGCTTGAACGATGGTAATGGAGCATGTTTCCTACGAAACTCGAACTCAAAAATTCTTCCATTCAGACCATTCTACCTCTCATAAAGTTACATTTTGGTACCCTCACATTTATTCGTCTAACGACTACCTCCTTTCAAACATCAATACATATTATTACGATAATATTTACCGATATTTATTAATTTGTGATTTATTTAACGAATATAAAGCGTGCAATGATAGGTTGATTTGATAAATAATGAACTGGAAGATTGTGTACAGGGAAGCGGTCGTGGTTTAATTTAAGGTACCAACCCAGAATTTGCTTGGAGAGACTGAGAAAACTACGAAAATCACAGTCACGATAGTCGATCTTCAGGGTCAAATACAATTGTCGTGTCGGCCCTGAAACCATCAAATTACAGTCGACCACAACGCTAAACAATGTTATTTCTACTACAGCTGGGTTATTGAAAGTCGTTTTAATGTCTGACTAATTCGCTGAATTAGGTTTTCCTCAAGGTTTACACAAGGGATCAGCGGGAAATAGGTGGCGACGTAATGAAAGCCGAAAGACCGGATTTTCCGACAAAAGGACAAGTGAAGTACGCAGTTTTAATTTAAAACACTATTCTGTACTTTTATCCTAATTTCCAATTCTCAGTTTATTTAACACAACTGCAACACTTTTCACTTAGGCAGGATAAGCGTAACGTAATTCCGCAGTCTCTATGGTCTCATGCGCAACGTTGTTCTTCAAAGGACATCGATGTATTTGTATGTTTACGTCTGAAAAGTATCTTTCATATCACCTTCACGGTGTTTATATTCATTACTCATGTAATTCAATCTTTGCTTAAAAACAAATTACTTAGTTCAACTCTCATTTCACAGTTGTATCGTTTCATCTCTAAAACTGTTTGTACGAGGTGCGATCGGAAAGTTTCTAGACTGCGCCTATAAAAACCCGTACACTTATCTCAGGTGCTTAGAAAGGAAGTTTGGGTCGGTTCTTGCAAGATCTTTGAGTTCCTGACAAACGAGAAGTCGATTCTGCTTCTGGTCCTCAGACAGGAGCCTTGGTTTCGCATGTGGAGTTCTTCCTTTAGAATCAGCTGACAGGTCCCATAGCCTATCCCAATAATGTCGCACAAGTCGTTGATGGTACGACGTCGATCTTCGTGAATGGCCTGCCGACTCTTCGTAACATTTTCGGGCGTTGTGCTCGAAGATGGTCGTCCAGAACGCTCGTCATCATCGACAGAGGTTCGGCCATTTTTAAAACGTGAATGCCACACAAACGTTTGTGCACGATCCATTGCGGACTCCCCAAATGCTTGCTTTAGCATTTCATAGGTTTCCGTAGCCGTTTTGGCGAGTCTTTGGCAAACTTTGATGCACACGCCATTCCGAAATCGCAGGAGGGTCGGTGTAATGCACTACCAAAACGCCCGTAACTAAGAAACAAATGCTAATTCGATGATGCCGGCTGGCACACTGACTCACTATAAATGTAGGCCGCACCCCCTAGCGGCAGAAGCTCGTACTACATCCGGTTCGCCCTCTATTGACACAGTCTTGAAACTTTCCGATCGCACCTCGTATTCATAATAAATATCTTTACTGAACACAATAATTGAGATAAAGTGAACTAAAAATGGCCAACTGACTTTTTCCACAAGTACTGAAGTACTGATGCTAATTCTTGTACTGCCTCCCCAAAAACTCCACGAACCAACATTTTGGAAGTCTTCTGAATCGTGCTAGATTAAATTAAACAGCGCATCCGAGGTACGGGAGGGTTTACAACGAACTTCTTGATTGCAATGCTGTATCCCTACATGAGACGATACCTTGAGGATTTACAGAAATTAATATTATACTCGCATGCGATAGGTGACCTTGTTTCAAAAGAAATTCACATTGACTAAACGGATTGCGACTTAAGAACGTTCAGTGAGACCCTATTTTGACGTTTAAATACTTGAAAGATTTCAAGTTCTTATTGTGGCAGGTTTGGAGAAGACGATTATCTTCATAATCGACACAATGACATCCTAAAATCACATGCAGTATATGAGAATTTTCAAAAACTACGATTTCGAAATTGTGAATAGGGAGTTGGGCAACACAAACTGAACTGAAAAACCACAGAGGAATACAATAAGAACAATGCGTAGTAATTATCAATATCAATTAATACAGATAACATTTTTATATAATGTAATGTTATTGTTGTTAAATCGTGCAACGATCACTAATTCCCTTGCATATTTAATCATGTCGTTTTCCATGTGAAAACAGCTTGAATAAAATAAATTAAATTTTATTTCAGAAAGAAGAATAAATTTGTCATTTTTTTCTGTTTTATAATTCACGTAATTACAATTTAATTTTTAATTTATTATTTTTTAGAACACTATTTAAAAATACGACATCTTAATGCATCAATTATTGGTAATATTTTAAGGGAAATAAATTACCATTCCATCATTGACAGTGTTGTCATCGTCTAATTACAAGGAAAATAACAGAATTTCGTACATTCACTTTTAACATTGCAATGAAGACCCTTTCACTCAGGTAAATGCCCCAAATTTATGATAACATACGCAGATATTTACATATTTTGAACAAAAACAATGTGACTTTTGAGGGCACTTCCTCTACAAATTAAACTTTCGAAATTATAATTAATTCTAGCTTAGAGGCCTTGCGACGGGCCGATCACTCGTCCAAGGAATCCTACCAACTGTCTATAGACCAGAACCAACGAAACGTTGGGACCCGCAGGTGCTCATGCACTGAAGAACGAGTCGTATAAATAAATCATAACTTCAAGGTCAGTGCCTATGCCAGATGTTTCTGCTGCCAGTGCAGTCTGTAGGAACATTGACCTCTCTAACAAAGGTTGTGTTTTGCTTACGGATATTAATCAGCTTTGTTCTCTTCTTATAGTTATTCTTTCGTTTTAATTGTACTTTACTGTGTTTCTTATTTTAGTGAGTGCTTGTAATTGGCTTTCCAGCTGTTTCTATCATAAAATTAATTCAATATATTAAACATACTTCCAGTTTTAAATATGTTATAATAACATATTTTACTGAAAAATTTACATAAATCACAAAGCAGTATCTGTTATTAATAATACTGTTTTTTATTTCAGGGCTTCCTCTACCGACAAACTGTAAGTATGATATCACTCAATATATATATAAAATTTAGAAATGAGTGAAAAACAATAAATTTAGTTATACAATAATCACTACCACTTAATTTCCGACGGAAGATATTAAAAATTTAATTTTTAAATTTTATTAAACCAACTTTAGGTATAAATTCCTCTTTGAGAAGGTGAAAGTTGCTTAGCTAGTCAAAAAATTCCTTTTGTGTTTGATGGGACCCGAAGGTATATTAACATATTCATAAGAGCACAATACTGATTCTTATCTCGAGTCAGATGAATATATACCACAATCTATTTTGTAAGATGCTTTTGATATTATTTTATGTCTGCCAAATGGTTTCTTCCATTTAGTGTTTCCTACTGAAATTGTGTGTACATTTCTCATTTCTCGAAAGCTTGTTACATCCTCCGTGAATATTATCCGTCTTTAATTAATGTGGTCTAATTACTAAAATATTAATTTTTCGAAATAAATTTGTGCTATCCTAGAACAGGATCAAGACGATTGCAAAATGTTTTCTATTAAGTGAACTGATGTGTGTCACTTCGTGGTTTTCCACTGAAAAATAGACCGAATTAAGGTATATAGTAGTGGATGCGCAATGTCGTAAGTTTCTTACAGAGATATAAAGGAATGTGTGTAGAGGTCGCGCGAGTAGTGGTGGCACCTAAATGCGCGATGTGTAAGCCGAGAGAGGGGAGTTCAGTAGTAGTGGGGGTCGCACAGCCTTAGCTGCGGTGACGCACCGAACTAAACACAGCTAGAGCTACAAACCAACTGAAGCTGACACCCCTCTAGCACGTGCTTCGGACGGGTCCATCTCATACGACCAAAATCAGTCCTTTGCGCAAGTGTCAGCACTTCTCGCTCGGGCTCTAGTATTTGAACACATTCGGACAAATAACCGTGTGGATTGTAAAAGCGTAGATTATAACGTCTTCTAAATGACAACCGAAGTTTGAAAATATACTCCAACTACAATATTTAGGTTAAAATTACTTGGTGTTCTGTGTATGGGAATGCAAAAGTTGTCTACAACTTTATTTCGGACGGTTTACGTCAGAAAGTTAGAACAGAGAAAGACAGAACAGTTGTTACATAAACTTAACCTGTGAATTATCCACGAAGCACCGCGCAATAAACGAAAAGGCTATGACGCATTGTCACACAGAATTACGAAAGCAGAAAGTCAATCAGACTGACCTACAAATATCGGTAAGTTATTTCGCAGTTCTTTCAGATTGCTGTGATAATGATTTTGAAATAAATCAATCTAAAATTGTTTCATCTCAGCCTTAAATTAGTTGTCTAAAAATTTCTGACTACGATCGCATTCTCTCAGGTACAAAATCATTTACTTTTCACTTGAAGTAATACAGAAAAATACATGTGTCACTATAATATATAACAGATGCAAGGCAATTCTGGACGCACCCTTGCGTGAACAAATGAAACTACCCTTGATCAATAATTTATAATTCCACGTATTTTTCCCTGGTCTCTACAGTTCTTGGAAAACCTAGACCGCTTACTTATACGCAGTTTCGGAACCCTCTTTTCGAAAGTATTTAGGACAATTTAGAAGAGGGGTCGACCCGGCACAAGACCTTTACTTTTCACTGATTAAGAGATGGTTAAGCAGATTAACTCAACACCTAGCAAATACTATGCATGCCCAAACTACTGTGTTTAAGCGCTGGTATGATAAAACGAACAGCTGTGTTGTAAAACTCAGGTGAAAGTTAATGCCACACTGAAATGTTAGTAGAATGTTTAGGACCACTTCTCTCCCTCAATTACCTCGCCAACACCCAATCTGTAAAGAGCACCAACACAGGATACCACAACAAACCAGAAAGATGAATACTTTCATGCATGTTTCGAGCAGGATTCGACCCACAGTCCAGACCATGCGACGCTTATCATCGGCATAATTGACTAATTATTTCGATAAATGGGTTTAGATCTTGTTTGAAGATGGCTGTCTTCGGCAGCAAGGACCTCTAAAACGTCGATAAACTTCTAGCATACTACACAGCGCAACAACCCAGTAGACAGGAATCTTCATAAAATTACTCCTCCCTACAGAAAAAACATAGAAAGAAGTTAACTTACGCTATGTTTTGTGACCTGGGGTTTAGCTGTTTGTAAGTTAAGGTGAAAAATTTACAATGTATTCATATCGCATTGACAGATTTATTACAGAAAAAGAAAATTCTCTTCAAGTACTGCATTTCAACTTTCAATTAATCCACTGCGAACATCTCACATCGTTTGCATGAAACCACAATGAATATTATGACACATGTAGGCTGCTCGTTGTTCATAAAATATTTCTCAGGGGCACGCCACAAGTTTAGAAGCACTCAAGAAAGTATTTACACGAAGTGGGAAGAAGGAAATAAACCAACCAATGAGCATCTTAGTGATCTGTACCGATCAAATATCGTGAGGCTAATGAAATGACGGAACTTATGAAAGTTTGGATACAAAGCTCATGCGAGAAAGAGAAGAAATTCATACAGAATTTCGTTGGGGATATCTGTTCTAAAATGACTGAATAGAAGACCGAAAATTGAGCGGGACTATAACATTAAGATTCCACTAAAAAAAAATAATTTTTAAGAAAGAAAGACAGAGGCAGAAGTATTTTAAATATTAAGGTAAAATAACATTATTATATGATATATTTCCGTTAAACTTTTTAAAATTTTTCCTCGACTGCAAAATTTTCGCCAAAATACAAAGAAACACAACGTTTCTTAGCATTAATATATTTGACCCTTATTAAAGCCGCGTGGACTTGTTCATGTCTATAAACGATTCAGAAGGACATACAGTCTCCATCTTTATGTACGAAACAACACTACACAGCATCAGGATACAGAAGACCCCAACATGCAACAACTTAAAGAGTCCATCTAACCAGGACACTACAAAGCTTTTCCCACAACAAAGAACACGCTCTCCGCCATGTTGCCGAACGATCTTATTGTAGGTTCGGAAAGAATGCCTCCCCTTTTCCTACAGTATACAAGTTAGAAATGCAAGAGCACAACAAATAGTCTCTCATAAAACGGTATTTAATTTGACTGATTCATATCCCATCTGACCACTAACTGCTTTCTTCTTCGGAGGGAAATTCTGAATATTCACATCGTACTCTGTCTCTGGGGAAGGGGAGATGCAGTCCCCGTTCTTATTAATAGTTACGTTCCTGCAGGGAGTTCTTAAAGCGAGTCGCCATTTCCCATAAACACAACGTTATAATTCAGGGTTAGGTTCCCGTACGACTGAAAAATTGCCCCAAAAATTATAAACCAGCAATTTTATTGTCTGAAACGAAACATACAAGCAACTTAAAATAGACTTTTGTGCTATTTAACTGTTAAAAAGAGCAAAATATTTTAAAAGACGCGCACAAAAGCAGCACCGCATAAGACGAACTAACACTTGTACTTCTGGTTTCACTGAAGTACGTGTTCGGCTCTTTTCGGAAGACTTCGGGTGAGCTAGTTCGTGTTCGGGTGACGAACCAAGCGGTTCCTTATAAAAGTTCATATGAGTATAAATAATGTCGTAATGAGAATCTTCGTAAAGCGACGACTGTTATGACGGTTTTGAGACCATGTCTCTGTGGAACTGTGCAGCTGACAGACCCATTGTCAATCCCCCAGAAAACTGAGAACGGAGCCAGTTTAAACCAAAGGACACTGGTAGAAACCTGTCGCAGTGCCACTTTGTCCACCAGATATCCCGCACAGTCTGCCCTAAGTACAAACCCGCTTTTTGCGGCGAGAAGCGAGCGACTAACCACATTACCTATGGCGATGTCAACTGAACAGATTATGTCACCAGTCAACTGGCAGAATTTTCTAATTCTGCTACCGGATATCATTGGATCAGGTGAAATTTCAACTGATCGTCCATAAAATTTTGAACATGGATTTTGTGTCATGCTGTTAGTTCACGTATAAACACAGACATTAAAAACCTGTATTCAATCTCGCGTACGTAATGAAATTTTATTTCACTTTATTGATCACTTTATTATCTCGGCCATCAACCGACATTAAATAATGAATACGGTAAATCACAAAGAACAAATTTATATTTCTAGCACAAGCACAAAAATATGGGTTTGTTGGAACAAAATAATGTGTACCTTAGTACATCATTTTATTAAATTTTTCAATAGTATAAACACAGGTTACCTCCAATTTTCTCAGTCTGTCTGCATGGATGTTTTATATTTTATAGTGTTACTGTATTATGTCTCATGTACCGTGAGCCGTTTCTATAATATAAGCATAGTAATTTCATAGCAACCCTCTGCATGGAACACCGCACGCCAGGCTCAACTTGACACGACAAGACACACACAATATACCCTGGACATTTGTCAGAAATATTGAAGAAAATTCTTTCATCTTGTTTTCGTGTTGTTTCACCCCGATCATTTGATACAGAGTCAGCATTTTTTAAAATTATTTTTTATAAGCCACAGGCGTTTCAGGGGTTTAAAAGCCACAAATACTTTTTTTCTCTTGAAACACTCCTACACTAGTAGAGGTTTGACTGTGAAGTAAACAAATTAATGTTTCTTTTTAAATCTCAAATATAACTCGAAACACGCGCTAAGCTATACAAATGAACAGGTTAGTTCGAATGATAATAATTCAAGTTTTATTGAAAAGATGTCAAGTCAGATTCTTGGGCACGTTACACTGTCTGAGTTCACAGTGGCGTTTCTTATTTAATCAACATTTACTTACCACACAATCCTTTTCACTTTATTGCATACAATAATGAATCCTATTATTTCACGGTCTACATAACTCCATTACTGATACAGCGTCGCTAAACTATTTTCAACAACAGAACAAGTTAACAGTATATGTAATAACAGAATTATACTTTACGATACTAAAACAATATTTCAGTGTGCTGGGAAGTAACATATAAGACAATTTATAATTTTTTTCCGGTAGCAGATCGCTTTTAAGTTTCCCTATAACTTCAAGTTGTCTAAATACCAAATATTCGCACGAAAGAGTGATTCGAAATTATTTAGAATTACATAATTTGTTCTAAACACAAGAGAAAAGTTTCTTTTCTGAAACTAAACAACTGTCTTATAACCATTAAGAATTTCGTTAATGATATCCCATTTTCGAAATTAAAAAAAGTTTTTCTCTTTCAGATAGTGAGACCACGCATTCCCATACCTGGATAATGATCACACTGTCCCTAATTATATTCACATACCGTAGGACGAGGTAGGTAAGTATTCACTGTGCTAAATAGTTCCTATTATAATGCAAATAAAATTAGAGCTTATTATTAAAACATGTGTAGCTTAAAGTCATCATGATATACAGATGCCCCATAAGTGCAATGCAAATCTGGTACTTGTCGAAATAGAGTAAAATATATTGAAGGAAATTTATTACAATTCATCATACTGCAATTAATATTGTTTTAAATTCTTTTGCCTAGGACGAGCGGTGTTGCTACATTGACGTGGCAGTTCGCTAGCCGTTACTTTCGCTTCCTGTGTCCTGTAGCTCTCCTTTCCTTCACTGTGACCTATTGTCCAGTGATATCCCCATGCTCTGTGAAGACATCTGTCCGTCGCTATTATGTTAACGTGGCAACACGGCACAATATTTTACCATTTATAATATATAGAGTATGGCGCTTAAACGGCCAGTTGTAGATAAAAGATTCCAACACTTTTATTATAATCACACGATTTGTAACAATTTTTCCCTAAACACATTTATTCGTATTTTGTCGACTAACAGAGTTTTCCTACGGCTTGTGGGACATGCTATATAGGATTTGAGCTTGATTGTTCGGCTTGAATTAAGCCTCAGTTATGTGATAAAATATTTTAGTAATTGTTAAACTAAAAATAAATAATAACTAATGACAAGCGACAGATGATGTAACAAACGTCACATAATTTAAAATGACAAATAATTCTACTGGGGTGCTCTAACCAAAGAAGCTAAAATGATCGCGGTGATTTTATGCACTATGATATTTCTGGTGTTAGTCAGTGTTATCATAATTATGTAAAAAATACCCCATATTTAACAAGACGATATCTACTGAAGTGGAGTTTTGGATGATGTCATACGAATTGCTATTGTCGCATACAAAATAAGTGGAAATTTATTAAAAGATTGTATTATATTAGACTCTGTCATATGTTTAGTTTAAAGTGAAAATTCGTAAAAGAATTAATTTAGAAATAACTTCGATAAAATTGTTTCGTTGCTGATTATAATTAATTTCGTAAAAACATTAATTACATATATAATTAACAGTTATTTAAAGCTTTACATACAAACAAATTTAATACATCTAATGGTTAATACAGACACTATAATTTAAGATGTTAATTTAGTAAATCTTTCTTTTAGTATCAAATCCAATACACTATAACATGGACGCTTCTTTAATATGATAAATGACGAAATTGTCATGTCCCAACATATTTAATGTTGAATATCGAAATGAGATGGCTGTATGCAGAGAAGGAAGTGGCCATGGTCTATTCTGAAATTCTATAGGAATTTTTAAAGAAGTCCATGAAACCCTCAGTAGAATTCCGGGTGATACGAAATTCGAACTCACAAGTCTGTAATACAAGTTATAAGGGTTACTGAAATGTAAATTTGCTGTAATTTATTAAATATCGAACATAAGTAATGACCATCTTAGATCCAGTATCACTTGCTTACACGTACAAAAGTCTGGCGAGTTGTATAAGAATGATATAAATGACGCAATATAATATTAACTGCACGATTTTCAAAAGTTGTAGTTCACTCAAAAGTTACTGATTAGGCCTAAGGGAAATGTCATTAAACAAAAATATGTTTTAATTAATAAGCAATAATTTTATATGTTTATCTAAGTCAATACATCTATAAATAAGAATAAATTTAGGAAATGTTTGATAAAATTAATTTCAGAAACTATCTTTCTCTTCCACTAACAATCGAAATATTTAAATATAAAAACTATAAATTCATTTAAGGGTGAAAAGCTTGGTCTCCCGCATGAAAGGGTGTTATTGTTTTAAAAGCGTATGAGAACGCAGTGCGAAGAAAAAAATTTTAACCTAAGAGATTAGAAGAATCAAAAGGCTGTAGGAAACAGGACAGCGAAGAGATTCATAATTATAATTTGTACCTTTAAACAAATATTATTAAAGTAAGATTATGTAATAGGAAGGACAAGAAGCATGGACGGAGATAAAATATCTTAAAGAAATTTGAGCCAGAAAATATGTAGGGAAGAGACCACTTTTAAGTTTAACTAATTTATGAGACAATAGTAATATCAATAATCTTAAACATTTGTGATGTTACTGTTGAATGGATTAAACCGACTCATTATAAAGCTCAATTGTGTGAGATCTTGTAAAGATGATAACGAATTCTTTATTCATTAGCACAACAAAAGTCATAAAAGCAAGAAGAAATTTGTTCCATGTAATTAGATAAATATGAATGAAAGTAAAGGAAGTATTTGTTTCTATCGGTATACTAATCAACATTCTTACTAATTAAAATAAGCACAAAGAAGAAAGCAAAATAAATGAAACAACAAAATGAATATATTAAATTAAATATCGATTGAAGACAGAGTAGTTGAATTACGTGGTTTCGTTATAAAGAAAATTCATTACTCATACTGAAAAATAATGTAGAAATTTCCGAATGCGTTGAATCAAATTACCATACTTGAGGATATGTAAAACAAAGTGTCATCGTGTTAAAATCAGAAGATGTGTTTAGTAACGAAGCTGTTTTCGTCCTGCAGGTAAGGGCCCGATGCTGCTCTAAAAAGTTGAGAAGACGCCTCAGACCAAAGCTACGTGTAGCTGATCAACAGAAAGAGTGACGATCGAAATAGCAGTGATAATTAAGTGGAATTAACCAACTGCAAATTAACAATTCAGATTATGTAAATACATTATGCTAACATTAGTTGGTGTAAACTAAAACAGGGTAATTAAAGCAGTTGCCAAAACAATTTATGTATAACGTAACACTTTAATGTTAATGTTTATTACGTGTTGTTACATGTAGTGTAAATTAAATTAGTTTTATAATTGTCTTGTCCGATGTAGAAGTATAAGTGTTCTTGACAATTGTTTTGTTCTCTGGCAAATATGATCTTAGTAGTTTGATATTTACAGGTCGTAAAATGATGTACACTCTCTCGTTTGGAGATGATCGAAGGTGGTACGAAGGAAAGTCAAGGACATGTCAATTTGTGAATTATGCATATGATCATCCTTAAATGAGCAATGCCAGAAAATTAAAAACCCTTTGAAATTATGAGATACTATATATGGCACTTTATTTCAGCTAACGTTTTTTCTTTGTATCCCACCAACAGGCATAATCATAAACAGATCAAATTTATGAAGTGATGTTCATAAAAATGTAAACACGATCTTGATGTAAAATATTAACATATATATTAATATTTTAAAAAATTGTTTTTTTATTAATAAAAATATTTATATAACATTTACATTTAATCATTCTTCTCTAGCTGCCGGCACATAATTGTAGCTGAAATTAAAATTAAATTTGCTAACATACAAGGAACGTGCATGGTTGTATATTATAAAATTTAAATTTCTGTGTTATTGTAAGATGAACAGCTAATAGACGTTAAACAATTTTAACAGCAAAATTTTTCTCACAAGGCTTTCTGAGCGCTCTAACGTCTGCAAAGTTTCATGAGGTATCAATTTAAAATAATTGCTCACCTCAATTTACGCTTATTGAATAACCAACATACATTTCCATCATTTAACGATAACTCAGAAATATTCTTTTTATGCTATATAATGTTCTATAATGTATATGAAAATAAATCCTGTAAGAATAAAAAAATGTTTTACAAAAGAATTGAAATATACCCCAAATTATATTAACACACACCGATTATTATTCAGTTTTCAACACTATGAAACATCGCTTATTTAGAAATTCAGCAGATATTTTCCATAAAATCAATTCTTACGAAAACACGAAAATAAACATTTATAAGAAAGAAATTTCACAGAATCCATTCCATGCAGTATTCATCAAAAAACGTTAGTCTACTTCGACACGACTACACAGCGAAATAACCCAGAAAGAATTTTCAAACTTATCCCAACTTAAAGACAAAATATACCCTGTTGTAACATAGCACTTCGCATGCGGAAGGCACCGATTTCTAATCTCGGGACAGACACAGGCTATCTTACTTAGAATTTTCGTGATTTTCCCTAGTTATCACTAAAAATGCCGAGATAGTATGTTGTATTAACCCACAACCGCTTTTCTCCATATCTTTTCCAATTAAACTTTCATTAATCACCCTAGCATTCAATGCTACGTATATAATCTGAGCTAGTGTCAGCGTAGTAAATAAATGAAGTCACGATTTTTTAACATTGTTTTTATATAAAGGTCTGTCTGTTGTAAATGAAACTAAGATTAAACCACAATAGTCACAATTCGTTGGAATAACAAAAAATTACAAGACGGCCGAGGCATAACGTTCAATGCCGTGAGTCGTAAAACAGTCCTGGGAACTGCTACACTGAATCCCTCGCGGGGCTCGGTTCAGTGAAGTAGCACATCAGTAAACCATACCAAGCACACACTGGGAATACCCACATGACACTGCGCGGCTGATTCAGACATGCGGGAACGAAATTTCTCTCTCAAGAGAATTTAAAACAAATACATCGCGCTGTGTGGACGAGGACATTGCGAAAAAGTGACATAAGACTAAGAAACACGTTCAAGATTCCCGTCTGATTCCTAGCTAAACTACTTTGCGATTCAGACTGCTAGTAGAACACCCAGAATATAAACTGAATATCTTAACATGATAAAAGCCACAATGGACTACTTAAATATATACCGATGTTCATTTAATCCAGATAAATATATATTTATGAGTTGTGGAATATATTAGTGAACGCATAGTTAAACATTTATTGACAATATATTTATATTTATTTTGTACAGTCTATACACAAACGTTTGAAGTTTATTGGTGTTGTATAAATTATATAATATTAAAACATTTTGTTGTATAAAATATTACATTAGCGCTCTTAATCGTAAATACGATTTTACATTATATTTTTTTAGCGCTTTTTATTAAAACGACATGTTTCGACGGGTAATACCGTCGTCTTCAGGTTTTTATCGCTAATATAATATTTCATACAACAAAATGTTTTAATATTATATAATTTTTACAACACCAATAAACTTCAAACGTTTGTGTATAGACTGTACAAAATAAATATATTTAATCAAACACAAACATGACGCATATAAGATACAAATTTATTGACAATATTTTCAAATTACAAGAACTGCCTTATAATGTTTATCTACAAAATGTAATTACAAAAATAAAACAAAGACTTAAGTCGAATGGCGTAAATTAAGGTACTTGTCCATGCCGGCGAAGTTAAAATGATGAGTATTAAATTAGTATATTATAAATCCTGCAAGCCACTGAAGAAATCTGTCTACATTGAAATTTATGTGGAATTAAGTATATGCGTATTATGCGAAGCAGAAACCAGAAACAAATCATAGAATAATAATGTTTGTACGTAATGAGTAATAGAATACAGCAAAACTTACGTATTTTGTAGCTGCATTAATGGTTTTCTGGGCTTTATTCGCTGTATTGCGTACCGAACAGAACGGAACGTTTTGGAACCGGAATGTTTGTGCCTCAGATAAAAGGATTAACATTTCTCTACCTAGTTTGGTCTGGTATATTAGGTAAATGGGAAGGATATTTCATATCTTGAACGAAATAGTTGGATAAATGGTTTGGTAGTTATAATATATTTACTCTGTCTAAATACTACTACAAATGATTGTCCTTGCTTTGTAAATGTCGATGTTTATGAATTCTTATAATCTTAAAGCTACACGTGAGAATCTGTGGTGTCAGTTTGGCAGATGTAAAAATGATGGAGTCTACATCTGTGTCTACGCAAGACGTCACGAAGCACTGTGTGGGAGTAAAGGTACATCTCCACATATTCTCAATATCGATAGTAGTTCGAGGTGAGTAATCACATTCTCAAAAATGTTTCTTCCTTAAAAATCGCACGTTTGTTGATAAACTTCACACATAAATTACGAGCGAGTTTTCTGCATAAATTATAGTATGTTATATTATAGTTACATTTTTAATATTACATAGTATATTGTTAAGAAATAGAGTACAATATGGAAAATGATAAATTACAATGGAATAGTTAAAAATTTGACGGGATTTAACCATTCTTACGGCGTAAAATGATGGAATCATTGCGTTGTTTATATAGGAAGCAAGAAATTCTATACGCAAGTAATTTGAGAGCAATTACATAATTAAGCTTGTGAACCTGCCACCTCTTCCTGTGTATGTTTATCTTAAAGATCTTGTACAGCATGTTTGTAATGAAGATGCAGCGTTATGTTGGGACGTAGCTTGCTGTATGTAAATGATTTTTATGGACTTCCCAACACATATTACTTTGTATAACCTACTGCCTTATCAGAGGATAAATAAGGAGTCTGTGTGCCTACTTCTTCTCTACTATAATACGCCAGCCTCTTAAACCAAGAGATTGCGCATAGGTTATTATAAGAAATAAAATTTTGCTAACTATCTTATAAAGAGTTCGGGAAAAGGCATGTACTGGACGCAAAATATCTGCAACTTTGAGCTACGCCACAGAAAGATGCAAAAGCAAAAAGGAGATTGCAAAGGGTGATCTGGCTGCCCAAGTAAGTGGTTTGTTGTAAAACAGTCAACTAAGCTCAGACATAGCTTTAGAAAAGTACGGAGTTACTTACAGAACAACAAATGAAGAAAATGAGCCGTGTACGGTGAGTAAGAACTTCTAATCCATATTATGAATTTACATATATCGATATTTTGTAAACTACCTTGTAGTTTTTTTACACCGGATTTAAGAGCATATCATTGGAGGTCACCAACATTGTACATTCCAATTTAACGTTTTCAAATGTAACAGAATGGCAGTCTTAAAATATTCTATGGTGATAAGTAACAAAACTACGCAGTTCTAGCCCAGTATTTATTTTACGGTAGATTACACTTAGTGTTTATATATTTCAATGTTTCGCATTTCTGTGACGTTCGTATTTAGCGCTGTAGTGTTACGTCCGTCAGATTAGTTGGAAAACGAAAGTGCATGAGTACATAAAAATGGTAATAAAATGTTATTTATACTCAGTGTCTATCCAGTATTTATTTAGCCACCATGACAGTAAAGTTAAGTGCAGTTGTTTTTAGGGTAAATAATGAGAATATTTCTGTTATTAAGTGTGACTTAAACAGTTGATAAATGTGACAGAAGAAAAATTGCACATATTTTAGTGGAAGACAAATCATTTAATGGGGAAAAGAGAAGTCTTTGGCTGTGAAGTTTCCCAGGCAGTGCCCACTTGTCCTTCTGGTAAAAGGTTGAAGAGAAGTTAAAGCTTTCGGAAATGGGGAAGGGACAGCGAATTTTGTCATTAACTTAGGACGGTGGCATTGTTGAATGAAGCTTATCTACATAGTAAATGAAAATTCAGCTCCTACCGTGAAGAAAAAACAACACGTCTCCATTACAAACATCAAACTGGTAAAGCTGTCTTGTTGATGCCCACAAATTACAAAGCAATTTAATTTAACCTGCCATATTTTACAATACTGACGATACTGGGTGACCTTTATAAATCATGAATTAGTGTAGTACAGCAGTGTAAAACTAAATGTATAATTTCAAATTCGAAGGAGGTATGAAGAAACATAGGTAAAACAGTGTGTTTATAAAACAAGCAATTGTTCAAGTACAAATTCTAATCACATAATGCATCCTATTTGCACCGTTTTTTCTTAGTAATAATGATATATAAATGAGAATGCCAGAAACAGCAACTGACAATCAATTGTTTAAACTGGTGATGCAAGATGCAAAACTCGATTTCATTAAAAACAGAATCGATATGACTAATTTCTGCCAATACCACGATACCCTCACCGCTTAAACACTAAGACACAGTTTCAGATATGTACAGTAGGGACCAGATTACTTGCTAGCTGAGCTTCCTAGAGCTGTGGATAGTTGCATTCGGCACGGCCTGGTCGGTGCACGGAACGGTCGGGTAGAACGGATAGAAAAAGCGTTGAGATGCGCGCGCAGTGCTTTTACCTTGCTCTTCACCCCCGCGACAAGAACTAGCAAGTAATCTTGTCCTTACTATATGTTTAAGGCGCGTTCAGAACTACAATATGATAAAACTCGCCTTTTAGCGTCATTACATCTGCCAATTCATATTTAATGACTCGAAAATCGTTGGACAAATTTTCTTGAAATGTTATATCGAGAAGTTACTTATAATAAGATAACAATAACAGGACTGCACATTTAAGACTGCATGAATTATTAGTGCGAAATAGGAAATAACAAGTTCGCCGTGGGAACTCCCCAGACAGACGTATTCAGTAGGGGAACAGTTCAAGAGGGCAGTGGTGTAATTAAATAAATGTGCGCTGGACACGCAACCAATTCCTGAAACATGCTGTGTTTGCACACTTACTTAGGATAATCCAATTTTAAAATAACGTTTTTTCTCAGCGACGTCTAGAGCGTAAGAAAGTTTGGCGATTATCGACTAAACTATTGTCACTTAGCACAGGAACTGTTTCTGTCCTACACGATTCCTTTGTCACGCATAAGGTTCACCATACGATATATTGTAGATTTGTTAGACACAGGAGAATCAGGAAATGTGTCCCTAAATTCATCCTGGAAATTTAATTAAGAACGAGTTGTCAATTAGTGTTCGAACACTCGTTGCACTTGAGAAAGAGACATCCTTGCAATTCGACT